CTGCGCAAAATTTACTCTTCCTCGCTCAGACAATCCCACTGCAAGTAAGTGTCTCGTCTAGAACAAGGATAAGGAAAAATAATACTGTGAGAAAATGGGGCTTCGAATTAAAAGAAATTTAATTTATGCATATTAATACTTTAAAAATATTCTTAAATATTCAGCCAGATAAAGCTTATTTTGTACTATTATGGCAAACAAATATTATTGAAATCTAAAAATTCACATCCAGTACTTTCTCTCAGTGAAGAAAATCACAGAAGAGAGAAAAATAGGACAACAAATTTGCGGCCTATTTGGGAGGGGCGGCACTTGCCACATCACACTCCCTTTCCCAGAGTTTTCTCCGAGTTTTCATTTCAAAAGGAGGCAACAATAAACTTTGGTTAACTCTTTATACCTTTATTTTTTTCTTTTTGGCAGCCCCAAGTGAAGTGAAATAGAAAAACGCATAAATAAGCAACACAAAAACCGAAATTTGCCAATAAAGCGGTAGAAAAAGTTTTTTGTGAGGGCAGACACCAAAATCGCTTGAGTTGCCATTTAATTTTTACATATTTCTGCTCAATTGTTGCATAATCAAGGCATTAAAAGAAACGCTTACACCAATTTGAGCCTCCCTCGATCGGCTTCCGGCCCACTTTCCCCACGAATGGCTCCCCGAATTGGCAACTTCAAAGTCTGGCATAAATATTACCCTTCGCCCCTGTTTTGTTTGTGTATTCAGTTTTGCGTTACAGGTGATTGCATTTGCCTTTCCGTTTGTTTCCTTCTCTGTTTGTTTAGGTAACAATATATTGGCTTGTAGCGGCCAAGAAGGGGGAAAACTTAGTGGCTGACTTGGGGAGTCGTGGTTGGGGAAGGGAAAGTCAGAGCGGAGTTTTCAGCGGACGGGGTTACGCGGATTTGGATGACAAATATTTGTCGAAAATATGAAAATTTAATGGTTTACGTGATGAATTTAATAAGAACTTGCAGGCCAAGGCAGGGGTAAAATTAAAGCCTGTAAAAGAATGATTGGAGAAGAGTAGAGATATCGTGTTATCTTACCTTCTCTTTAATACTTATTTAACTCCGCTTTAAATAATACCATAAATAAAATAGTTATTACAATTTATAGATAATGTTTTTCCGTCTATATTTTCCGTTTATATTAATGTACTTAAAATAATCAATCACCCTTTTCCCTGTACCTAAGCTCTTACTACAGGTAGAAGCAATGTTAAGGTAAACCATACATCACCCTGGCTTACTCCATTTTCCGTGCAGATTGCTTGGCCCAGAGAAGCAATCGAAATTAAACCCACAACGTAAAGTAAATAAATTTAACAAAATGGAATGCTGAAATTATTTCCCCAGGTCGTTCAGACACTCACACCGAGACCTGCACACACATATGGAGCTACCACCCGCTCACAAAACGATAAATTGCTAGTGCAATGTTAGCAATTGCTGTTAGCCATTACGTATCCGCCGCGTTGCACCAAAAACAAGTACTAGCAGTTGCAGCAGCAGAAGCATCGCAAAAAGTACACTTGATTGATGAAAAACCTTTGCGAAATGTCAATCCAACATAATTGAGTCATGTGCTGCCGCTGCCCTCTTTCTCCCCCGAAAAAAAAACAGCAACTAGAGTCCATCGGCAAAGGGAAAACGTGAAAAGTGGCAGCTGCAAATAAAAAGTGGCAGACTGAAATTCGTATGCGGGATCGGGTATATAGTATCAATGCACTCCGAGTGCACACTGTACCAGTCGCACTGGCCCTGGCCAAAAGCATCATTACCAGCTCCATACGTCGCGACCGCCGCAGCTTAAAGTCACTCAGGTGCGGTGGCCAAGGCGAAATGCACATTACCCATTACACATCCAACATGGCAGGGCCCAGCAACAAATGTGGCACCAGCGATGCGCCAGTGAGTCACGGGTTTATCTTGAAGTGAGTTCTAGATGCAACACGAACTCAAAACATCTGGTATTCCCTTACTTTTAAATTTCCTTTTAAATAGAAAGTTGAAGAGACCCTAAAGAGTACTACAAATTTCTGTAACAGGTAGATCTTTAGATAATTTTTTTAACACAAATAGTATTTCGCATAGCTTTTAGTATATTTCCCAAATCGTGCAGAGTCACGGTGCCTTAACCAAGCTGTAATGGCAAGAAAATTAATGCCGGGAAGTAAATGCTGCTGACTACGGTCCCTCGACGGCGACCGAGACGATATAGTTGACGATGATGATGGCAGGGCGATGGAACCAATGAAGGAAATCCAGGTGAGCCCTGCCCCATCGAAGCACCTGCAATAGACCGCAGAACAAGTGGCAGCCAAAGTCGTTTCGAGTAAGTGTGACAAAATATAAATCTTTCCCTCGCAAGCTGAGTGTGCTTGTGTATGTTGGGATATATATGTATATGTATGTATATGGCAGAGTAACCCGAACACATAAGCTGCAGTTGGTCAGGCGCGCTCGTTAAACTGGACAGCCCCACTGCTGCTGATGTTGCCGTTGTACTTGATGTTGCTGCTGGAGTTGCTGCTTTTGGTGTTGCTGCAGCCGAAGGACCAAACATCCTGGCCACAGAGCATCAGCTGCAGCTGTTTACGACCTACGCCAAGAGAGTTCAGCTGGGGGGCTCTCATCTGAGTCTGGTGGAGAGGATGTTTTTGGGGCATGGCACTTGTTACGACCCGACAAAATATACCAACATTATGGGACATAAAAGGAAGAAAAAATGCCAGAGGAGGGGAAATATTGCTCCAGTTTTCGAAAAGAATATTTTAAGAAGGCGCGGAAATCATAACACTAAGAAAAAAATGTAATTAAATTTAATTTAAAATTGGGTTTAACTGAATAAAAGTATTATGTGAAAAGAAAGAGCATATAAGAACCATATATTTTCCATTAGAATTTTTAGTTTGTAATGTGTGTGTGACTTAATTAATATTATTTTGCTTTAATATCTTCTTTATTTCTTTCAAAACGGACTGTATTTTCATTAATATCCCAAATAGGATCTCTCAATAATATTCACAGAGTGGCTAGAATTCCAGGACAAATAGTAAAATATATACTAAAATCAAATAACCATTATTTCCCCTTCAAAACCTAAAAACTCGCAGCCCATCCCGAAAGGGAAAATCCCATTATTCTCCGAAGTTCTCGTTTTTTCTCAAACCCATGCGCATGCTCCACTTCTCTCTCGTGAACTACAAAACCGAACCACATGAAATGAGTGGAAAAAATGTCGCTTTAGTTGGAGAATTTTAAACAGCCTCTCCTGATTTTCGACCGAGAAGTCGCCTCCCATGAAAGTAAAAACAAACCTGGCAAACAAAATCAGTCAAAAGGGCCTTCTTTTACTGCGTAAAACTCACCGGCACACACATGTGCTGCTGACTTGGCTAAGACTCCACACATAGTGCATATAGTTGGCCCACAAATACACGGGGCGACAGCCGGGCCGAAATGGAAATATGAAGAGCAATCCCCTTAGGATTTGGGCGCACTGTTTGCGCGCACTCTCGAAAACTTGGGTGCACCTTAAGAGGGGATCCCCCGAACTTTGACAATCTAAGCAGTTTACTGTGTCAATATGTTACGTTCGCTGCTCGTCCCGCAGCCGAACTCCGCATAACTTATGCATGCAAATTTCCCGCCCAAAAAGGTGGAGGACAAAGGCAACAGAATCGCAGTAAATGCGGTTATTGCAGCGATTATTTTAATGGCTCTTCTCGGTTGTTTGATGCCACCGAACTTAACGTACTTGCGCCGTTCATGAGTTCTCTGTTTCTCGGGCGGATGCCAATGCAGATGTATTTAACACCTGCAAAGTTTCGTGCTGCCTTCGAGTCTACAAAAGAGTCATTTGTTAGCCTGTTCCGGGAGTGCAAGTCGGCTTCATTGGGCACACCGATTTGAAATTCAAATTTTTAAGCTGCCGCAAAATCGAAAAGTTGGCCAAGTCCCCAATCTAAGTGCTCGATGCGATGCGAAAGTTTTCGAGCTAAAGTTTCGATGGCAAAATACTTTACGCCATGCAATTGATATATTTTCAGGGCGATGCCGAAACAAAGGCGATAATGTTGCATTATTTGCTGCAGTTCAACATTGAATTTTTGCCAAAACAAATTTCAGATTTAAATTTGAAGTATTGTTAAAATTACAAATAAAATTATCTATTAAAAGCAACAACTATCTGATTGTAAAACGTTTCTTAAAAATAGAAAATAAGGTATTTTTTCGCAAAATTAAGCATTGTCGAACTTTGGGGCATAATTCACACACAAACTCAGCCCCAAATTGCTGCTTCTTATAATTTCCTTTTTTATATATTTTTTAATTTACACTAAATATGGCAACGATGTCGGAGGCGACAGTAGCACAACAGGGCGCATCGGCAGCACCGCCTCCACCTCCACCTCCGAATGCCGTTCCACCTCAACCGCCCACAACCACAAGTCTGAGTCTGAGTTTGCTTATATTTTATTTGTGGCTAAAAATTGCATTCATGAATAATTCAGTGAAGTGAAAAATTTGGGGTTTTCTTCGTTGTTCCGTCTCCCAGTGCTTTTCGAAAAATAAATGCTGCCAGAATTCGTTTTTATTTTTTGTGCAGCCACTTCCGGTGGAGCAGCGACATCCCCTCCCCTGCGCGTTTCGTAATGTGTGCGGGTTATCAACATTTTGGGTTAATATTTAATGTAAATGACAGGCAGACCACAATGAAGCCTCGGACAGGGACTCGGGCCCCGGAACACCGCCTCTATCTCCCTTTAAACTTACACTTAGTTTGCATAACATCCGAAATGAAGTTCCCAATACTCGCCATGTAAATGAGTCGCCGCGAAACGGAGACATTTTATGCAGATCGAAAGTCCCAGGGAGTACGAGTACTCGGAATATTTCTGCTGCGCGATTTATGTTTCTGTTTTTTGGCCTGCTCCTCCTCGACTGCGACACATAAACTACCAACTATTCTATAAATTAAAATTGTAAAAATATTCCGGCGAACTTTGTGACATTTTGCATTGCAATAACCGTCTCAGGCTGCACCTCTTGTCTATGCAGTTTGTTATATATTTTTATTTATTCCGAAGATCGCATAAATATTTGGGCAATACATTAGTTTTACTTTACGGACATGGTTCCAGGTAAGGGCTGCGCACTGCAAAATTTATATTTCCATACATTCAGAAGTTCATTCAGGAAAACTCATGTGACATAATAAAGTCAAAGCGATCCTGCTCCTTCTTGGACAATCGGTAAAAGTTACGGTTTGTGTTATCTATCTCCACATTACTGTGATAAGGTGGCCACAAGGTGGTGTAGGACATCACGCTGCAAGAAGAAATTTAAGGCCAAGTTCGTTACCTTTCTAGAGGCGCTTACCGCACAAAGTAGGCCGCCTCGAGAGCGGTATTCTGGTATTCAATCAATTTAGAAATCTCAGTATTAAGCTGGCGATTGTACCTGATGGTGTCACTCATTAGGCGCTCCCTGCACCTCACTTCCCTGCGGTATTCAAATTTAGTAGCGATAGAGCGATGATCTGATTAGCACAGCCTTACACAGGCACCTTGAAGTTGGTGTAGCTGGGATCCATGAGACAGATATCATGATCATCGTGCTTCGGCTTATACGTGAAATATTCTGTAATCGGTTTATCGTCAAACTGGCCCATATATCTTTTATCATCATCATGACGTTTTATGTGCCTTTCAAGAATAGTCCGATTGTCCATCATCGGAATATCAATTTTGGTAGTGGCCCGGCTCATACGCATCGCTGCAAATTGAGAAGCACGTTGGTTGGCCCATTGGGAAGCGCGTTGGGAAGGCCGTTGAGAAGCACTTAGGGAACTCCGCATAACAGAACCCCGTAAAGTTGTCGATTTGCGGCTCTCCATGGTGTAACTGTATACAAACGGAAAATAATAAATAAATGAGTTGAGTCAGTGTAGTCAGTGTCTGTATTTGTTCTTAAATTAAAAGCACACTTATTTTAATAATTTACAAACAAAAATTGACATGTGGAAAGACCCCTTAGCACAAATGTTTTTATAGTTTTTACAAAGTTTATTTAAAATATTTTAAAACAAAATTTAGATAACTTGCTGAGCACTTTTAATAAGGAAGTCAGTTATCATAATTTAAAGTTTAGTTTTAGAGATAATCATCCATCAAGGCTTGTTTAAGTAGTCACAGCTTTTTAATTTAGATATATATTTAATTCCTAGATACCTACGACAACAACCTGATTCGTTTTATATGGCCTATATGATTTTAAGCCGAAACTATTGAGTTGTGATATCAAGCTCCTGTTACCACCACAAGCGAATAGCATCTGAATAATTAATTGTGTATAAAAGCAAATACCCATCTGAACTCCACAATATACGAATGTCTGAGAGCTTATGTAAATTTCATGAAATACAAAATCAATAAACTAAAGTGAACCATAATGAAATTATAAACTATCGGGCACATAGCCGCGCTGCCATTTACTCGCGGTTCGGCCCACCCCTGGGCATCCAGTAAGCACCCACTTTGCCACCTACTTCGCCTGCCTGCCAACGAGCCTCCTTCAAGGAGGACTCTTTCCAGCCTGCAACTTTGTGCGTTAAAAATATGTAAAATATTTTAACCGAAAACCTTTCAAAAGATTGCAGAGCGGGCGAAGCTGTTGGTGTGCGCATACTTGGCGTATGCGTAATGATATTAAGCATCGCAAACTCGTATGTGCCTGTGTGTGCGAGTGAGAGTCGGCCTGATAGCATTGATTTTACCCCGGGTAAACCCGAAGAAAATCCACAAAGGAAGCCCTGAAAGTTTCCCGTTCTGAGAGGCAAGCTGGAATTTAAGGTTAATTTATTTGGCGCCTATGTAAAATGCAAGGACAAGACACCTCAGAGGCTTGGTGGAGGATATCATATACCACCTTAGCTTTAGCAATGGCCAATTAATACATTATGTAGGGAATGGAGGAGTTAAATCTATAAAGAGATCATTCCTATATCATTTTAACCTTAACTGCCAGAATTATCAGATATTTACTTACTTACATCCAACTATCTTACCTTACTCTAATTGTTTTAGTAACGGCGTAAAATTATAATTTAATTCCACTCTAATTTCGACATCAAGTCTGTGACCCTCTCCCGTTCCTCCGATCCGAATTCATGGCTTTAATCTTCAAGCTCGGAATTATATTCGCACTTTTTCCCCCTCTGTTTATATGGAATAGGTTTTATGGCTCAAGGACGTGGCGCTTCAAGGACTGAATTTGGATTTGTGTTTTCATTATGAGCTCCAAGGAGGTCTGCTTCCGAAAGTGGGCGGAAACTAGGCTGCATTCCTTTTAGCCGAAAACGGAATGGGTCAATACACAGGCAGCAACCAAAACAGAATAAAAACACAGCAAATAAATCAAATTAAATGAAATGAAATAGTTGTGGATTTGGGGGCGCTGACAATGGAATTCGGCTGCCAAGTTCTCTTAATTTTTCTTTCTTTCGCTTTTACTCGATGTTATCCTTTTGAAGAAAACGTAAGTAAGAAATATGTCCCTGAGTTTGGTCTCAATGTTCATTAATTTTCAGGAGGGCTTTTTGTCATATCAAGATTACGATTTTCCATAGAGCAAACATTTATAAAAACTACTTTATTACCAATTAGCTTTATTATTAACTTGACAAATGTTTTCCGCGGTCGAAGATCTCTCTAGAGATTTGAGAAATTAATTCTTTCGGATCCAAGTTAGCCTTGAATTTCTAAACACAATTTTGTAACTTATATTGAACCTTTTAGCCAGGTAGGCCAGTGTAGCTGGGGTGGCCTGAGGTGTACAGGCACTGTTCCGAATTTCAGGGTCGAGATACTTCCGTGTGTTCGAGCTTCTGTCACCCGGTACTTCTTTGCGTTGTTTCCTTGTTCTTTCCGTTCTTCTCCCCTCTTCTTCTTGACGCCGGAAGACACCCTCCTTGGGGTTCGCCAGTGTCTGTACGGTGCTCCAGCATTTTGCTTACAGGTTTTAAAAATTGTTAGATTTTTTAAATTAGTTGTGTATTGATATCGCATGGCTCATCATCCTTGGCATCCATCACCGCCGTTTAATATACATTATTAGGTCTAAATGTGATTGATACACACCTGCGCTAATGTAGCGCACAACAACCCTGATGGTGTATTTAACACGATGCCGTGCACCGTCATTCACCGACAGTTAGCCCTAAATGGTGTCACGAGGGTGCAGAGAATGCACCGCCAGACCAAACACGGCCACGTGGCCCACTTCGAGTGCAATCCTACGCCAATCGCCCCGGCAATTCATATCCTGGTCCTGCACAAACACAAACCGAATGGCAATCGGGACTACCACACACATCCTGCCTGCCATGACAGTCGCTTTCCCGGCGGGCAGAAGACACAGCGCAAAACACACACGAGAATATTAAGCAAAATGTCAATTTGGTGGGTACATTTTTTCGGGCCTCAAGGACCTGTCAAAAAATGGGGGAAAATCAAATCAAATTGCACACTTAAGCTGCAATTGCAGCGGCATCGAGAGAAATCACAGTCCGCTGCCAGCCCCTGTCCAATCGAAATGGAAATAGTTTTGGCTCTCGCCTGCCTGAGGACCCGGTCTGGTGACCTCTTAGCCTGCTCCTTTGCCACGGAACAGAGAGATAAGACGGAAAAGGTGACTCTGGCGAGGGTCGAGGCAAGACGGAACGGAAATGAAATCAAGCAAATTGAATGCGATGAGTTGGACGTGGGAATACGTGCCAACCGTTGTCATAACAGCCGTGACGATAAAAAACACTCGAGATCATCAGTAATTGCTGCCGACAAACTCGCATTTACCCCGAGTTCTCCCAGTCCCATTCCCATTCCCATTCCCATCCAACCGTGGGGACATGGCGGTGGAACACGCGCCTCCGCCGGCGAATCCTTGTACGAATCCAAATCCATAACAAGCCGCCAACAATGCGTGCCAAAGCCATGCGGAGATTTCAAGACATCATCCGACTGACATCCGCTCCCGGGCACACAACAAGAAAAAATGTTTTTCAAAATTGGTAATTAGTAGGAAATGTTTTCCCATTCAAAACGGGATAAAATCTTCTTTATTTCTTACTTTAAAATGTATTTTCTGCAACTTTAGGGTATATTTGGATTTTCTGAGACCACTGAGCCTGCGAGTCACTTCAGCTTTTTTCGCTGTGGACTCTTCAAGGCAAAGTTGCTGCGACATGTCACCGCGAGGCCTCCTGGACAAATGGTCTCCCATTCCCGCTTCGATCCATTCCCACTCGCAGACCCATTCCCGGCGGACGCAGCTCTGCCCCCGACAATTGACATTTGGCCACCCAGAGCTGTCTCCATTTATTTGTGTCGGAGAATTGAAATGGTTGGGTGTTGGGTGTGGGGTGCTGGGTGCGGGGTCTGGCTGGATGCTTTGGTGGTAGGTTGGTTGGCTTGTTGTCGCGTTTCGGCCGCTTCCGCTGCCGTTGCCACCTGCTCTTGTCCATCGCCATTCATCAACATCAGCGCTGAAATTAGAAATGTTTTGCGTTTGGCTTCCGGCGGGTCCCGGCCGCAGTTCCACGGCCGCCTTCGCTGCTGGGACATGGGACTGTGAGCCGGCTTGGAGCCACCAGCCAGCAGGAGGCTGGCATCATCGACAGGGTCGGAACGATGTCGACATAGTTTCATGCCATTTTGGGCAGCTTTTGGCGATTGGACTGGCGCTAATGTCGCGTTGTTGCCGCTTTCTGATTTGTTTACCTTTTCAATTGAATTCGTGTCCCGAACGATGTCCCATTTCAATTACACTTGACAGCAAAATTGAAACTTTGTGGTGACTTAAGGAAAATTAAAATAATAAAACTATTTAATTGTAAGCAAGTCGTCCTCATAATATATACTTTATTCCAACTATAGAATCTGCAGAAATCAATTTTAAATTGGCAGCTACACTACTCTGGCTGTCTGGTGTACACTGTGTACCCTGCGAAAGGCATTGCCGCGACCTGAGAACGTGCGAAAAATTCAGCAATAGATAACAACAACCCATTAGGTGGAGTGGGCTCACCCCCTGGCTTCCCCTTTATGGCTCTCGCAAATGAGAAAGGCGCTGCCGGGCTATTTATGGTTTAAAGAGTTTAATGCCAAACTCGAACTCTGCCCAAAAACAGAGCGAAAACGTGATTTCTCGCTGGCCACATAGCAAAATATATCAATGGCAATACAGGCGTGCCATCTGCACAATGAGTGGCAACAGAATTTACTGCGATTTCTCTATTAGGCCAAGTGAGTGCTATTTTCGCTGGGGAGAGGGCCACTTGGTAGCTTGGGCTTAGGTGGCCAATCGACTGACTGGCTGGTTGCTGACGATTACGGCTGATTTTTACGACAATTTGTCTGGATGTCGCTGCATCGTAATGGGGACATTCCACTGCCGCCGGGGTCAAGGACTTGACTTCCCTTGGAAAAGAGAAGAAGAAAACCGGGTAAGAGCCCTTTCAAGGACACAATTGAAGTAGCTTAAAACTTTCTCAGATGGTGAGCGAAATAAAGCAGCGAATATTCCAATAAATAAGTCGCTTTTTTGTGAGCCATATCGAAGGTGGGCGTGCTCTTGTGCTATCGGCGATCGAGTGCCAGCATATGGAAACTGATGCTGGATGCGGCAATAAATAGCGGAAGTAACGTTGTGTGAGCTATACCCCAATTTATGGCCATGCCCATAAAAGCCTTGAGATTTTTATGTGCAGCCAGCAAGGTGAATGGGTTGGAGCACAGCCCCGAAGGATCAGACTCCTTTGGATATCTGCGGGTCTTGCAAAGTTTCGTTTTTCCATTCCAACAAATGTTGAATAGTCAGCGATTTGTAGGAACTTGTATTTTATCCGATTGGGGGAAAATAAATTACAAATTTTTTGTATCATTTTCTTAATTGTTTTTACAAAAGTAAACAATAATTTATAAATAAAGACCG